GGGCCGCGGCCGGGCAGGCTGACATCATTCCGGGGAGGAGCGGTCCCTCCCCGCGCCGGCGGAGGGGCTCCGCGGCCAGCGCCGCACCGGCCGCGCCAGGGGAGGGGGGCGGTGGGGACCGGGCACCCCGGGGGCATCCGGGACGGGATGGAGCGGCGAGACCCAGCGCTGCCTGGGACAGCCCCGGGGAGCGCAGTGCCTCCTGCCCCGGGATACCCCAGGCAGGCCCCGGGGATACCCCGGAGGAGACCCCACCGCATCCCCTGAGATGCCACGGAGAGACCCCAAACAGGTCCTGGTGCTCCCCCAGAGCAACCTCACTATATCCCACAAGACACCCTGCAAAGGCCCCAGGGGTATCCTGGAGGAGATCCCACTGCATCCCCTGAGACACCCTGGAGGGACTCCAAACAGGCCCCAGGGACAGCCAGAGGAGATGCTGCTGCATGCCTGAGATGTCCTGCAGAGATCCCAGGCAGGCCCCAGGGACACCATGGGGACAATCCAAATGGGCTCTAGAGACAAGAGCCCAGAGGAGACCCCAATGCACACCCCAAGACCCCCTGGAGAGACCCCAGGGATACCCTGGAGAAGACCCTGCTGCATCCCTGGAGACACCCTGCAGAGACCCTCCCCTGCATTGCAAGGTGCCTTGGAGAGAGAGCCCAAACGGGGCCCAGAAAAACCCAGATGAGCTCTGGAGACATGCCAGAGGGACCCCTCTGCACCCCCCAGACACTCCAGAGAGACCTCAGGGCACCTCCCAGGGCTCCTCACAGAGACCCCCACGGGCCCCTCACAAACCCTACTGAGACCCAGACAGACCCTTGTGCCCTCCTGCATGCCCAGCGTGACCCCAATGAGCCCCTGGTGCCAGAGTGACCCTGTTTGGCTCCCCTGCACCCCCAGGATCCCCCCACACTACCCACCAATGAGACTTTCAGACACCTTGGGGCGACTCCAAAGAGCCACCAAGCACCCAAAAACCCCAGTGTGACTTACCAGGCTCCCTGAGATACCCCCCACAGGGTGCCTGCACTCCAGAAACACCCCAGGGGGACTGCCGTGTCCCCCAGCATACCCCAGAGGTGGCCCCAAAATCACCCCCAATGTCCCACATAAAGCCAGCTGACTTTCTCTGGGGCACAGCCAGCATCTCCATGTCTCAGCCCTCTACATCACCATGCCCACAGCAGACCCATGGCGAAGGGTACCTGCCCCCATCCCCTCCCAGCCGTGCAGGGTACAGGCAGGGAAGGGGAGCCAGCCCTGCCCAGATGCCTCCAGTCTGCATCCCAAAAGAGGCTGGGAATCCCGAACCCCGACTGGTACTGGCTCTGCCCTGCTGCAGGAGGGGATGCCAGCCCCGAGGTTGGTGTCCATGCCCAGGCACCTAGACTGGTGAGGGACCTCCGGGCAGCCCCTCCTCACAGGCAGTGTCTCTTGCACCCTGCCCCCTTGCTCGTACCCCACATGGCAGCTCTGAAACCTGTCCCTCAACTCAAAGCCATGCTGTGTCCCTTTCCCTCTGGCCACACAGCCCCAGGGCTGCCACAGCACCTACTTGGCAGCAGGGGCTGAGCCCGCCCAGCAGTCCCTGATGCCCCCTGATGCCTCCCCAAGGGAGCCTCCAGCTCCCCTGCAGGAGCCTCGATGGCTCCTGCAGAAACCAGGTGTCTATTTATCCATGTGCCCATCTATCCCAGCATCCACCTGTCCATCCCAGCATGCATCTATCCATGCCCCCATCCATCCCAGCATCCATCTATCCATGCCCCTATTCATCCCAGTGTCCATCCATCCATGCCCTCATCCATCCTGTTGTCCATCCATCCATGACCTTATCCCACCTGGACACCCCAGTGACAGGCACCACTGAAAGCACCACAGCTCCTGCTGTGGGGGCAGTGGGGAGCTGGGGGGGGAACCTGCTCCCTGCCCCCCTTCTCTCCCATTTCCAGGCAGCACTGGGCTGAGCTGTGCCAGGGGATTTGGGTCCCTCCGCTGGGACCAGCTCTGTGGGGAGCTGTGTTCCCTGGTGCGGCTCCGGTAATGGGCCCTAATGGAGGCAGCGTGGCCGAGCGCTGGGGGGGCCGGCAGCGCTGCGGGGGCTGCCCCCACTCACGGCTGGGGACAAGTGGGAATGCTCAGGGCCTCTTGTTCCGGCCACCCCACAGCAAACGCCTGTGGGGCTAAGCAGTGGGGTGGGATCTGCTGCACCCACTGCCCAGGGGCACCTGCAGGGACCCCTGCAGCACGCACACCCCCCCCACACACCTGCTTGCTGTGGGCACAGGGGAGGGCTCCGGAGGGGCCTGGGGGTAGCAGGGGGGGAAGATGGAGCATGGGGAGAGGCAGGGATTCTCGTTCCTGCTTCCCTCCCCCCAGATGGATTTTATGGATGGGCTTCTCCTTCCCTCCGGCTAATGGGCTGCGGGACCCATGGGAGCCCCGGCGTTAGGGTAAGTGCGGGGTGGGGCCGAGCTGGAATGGGGGGAGCGCATTTACCACCTCCCCTGGGACCCCCCTTCCCCTGCGGGCAGCACCGATGCTGCTGGGAGGGCTGGGTCCCCCCCACAGCGGGGAGCTGGGGACCCCCACACAGCCAGGATCCAGCCCCCGAACCTCCCCTCCTGTGGGGCTGGGGCTGAGCAGGGGGAGGGTGGAGACCCCCCAGTCTCTCCTGGGCTGGAGAGGGACCCCCCTGTGCCCTCTTGGCACAGGGAAAGGGGTTTGGCAGCAGAGCTGGGAAAGGTGACCCACACCAGACCCACACCAAGCTGCTGTCAGACCCACACCAAGCTGATGCCATCCCGTGCCAGACCCATGCCATCCCACACCAGACTCATGCCAAGCCCCTGCCATCCCACACCAGACCCACGCCACCTCACACCAGATCCATGCCAAGCCACAGCCATCCCCCCCAGATCCATCCCCCTCCCAGGACCACCCCAAAAACCCGCCAAGCCCCCCTCACCAAGCCACCCGGCGCGTTCCACCCGTGCCATCTAGTGGGATAAGGCTAGAAGACAGCTGGGCTCCCACCACGCACCCGTTGGGTGCCCACCCTTCCTACGCCCCACAGCACCCCAGGGACACGCTGGGCACATGCCACCATGCTGGCATAGGGCACTGCCCCGGCGTGGGGTGGGCGAGATACGCAGCCCCGGCCCTCGGGAGCAGCCGCATCAACTCCGGCTTTATTGCAAAACGAGTCTGTGGGGACGCGGGCACTCGGGGATGCTGGTGCCACACGGGGTCCCAGCCCCGCCTGCTGCTGGCACGGCCCCCACAGAGGGACCCCAGCACTTGGGGGGACAGCAGTCTGCAGTGCTAGGAGGGGTGGGGGCCACTGTGGGGGTCCCCACTGTCCCTTACGCCGAGCTCTGGGCTGGCAAAAGTGTCCAGGCTGGTGGGTGAGGGGGACGGGTGCTGCACGTCCTGGTCACTGGGGCAAGGGTCCCCACAGCGGGGCTGCGGGATGGCACTCTCTTCTTGTTTCTGGGAGGTGGAGGCGTCGGGATGAGCCGGGTCAAGGTCCTCACCCCCATTGTCCTGGGCAGCCCCACTGTCCCCCTGGGCTGGGACCACACCGGGCAGCCCGTCCTCCTGGGGCTGAGCTGGGGCTGGGCTGGCGGCAGCTCCTCTGCTCCCTGGCACCTCATCCCCACCGGCTGGTGCTGGCCGAGATGCCCTCTCCATGCCAGGATCCTCCTCGGTGGCCACCGGTGTGACTTGCTGGTGGCACATGGGGCACGTGTCCTGCACGTAGAGCCACTTGCGGAGGCAGGTGGCGTGGAAGAAGTGACTGCAGGGGGTGATGACGGCCACCTGCATGTCCTGCGGGGCAG